AACCATTATGATACTTCCAACAAAAATCAATTCTCCCCACCTTTTCACGCCACCTCCACCTTCCGCATATCTGTACACTCGTTGCCTATGATATCAACTAGAGGAGCCTTCACTGCCTTCACAACACTCGTACGAACTCTTGCACGGTAAACCGAGTTGGGTACCTACATAGGGGTAGTGTGGAAAAGTAGGCACATGGTCAACTACATATGTCAATGACAATATGAAGCTTTTGAGGAAATTTTGGGTTCACAAAACTTCCACCCTAATTCGTATATAAACTCCTACAATTAGTGAGTAAACTCCTGAGCTCAGCTGAGGAAAGCGAATATATATTCCAACACTGTACAGGAGTGATTAGGACACCCAGGACTCCCCCAACCTCACCGCAGGAGGTAATACCGATGCCGCTAGGACCAGCTCCGGCTTTAGAGGCTTCGACGTGTCAAACTGCAATTTCGGCGTGCCAGGCTGCTCAGCTGGGCCTCCGTTTGAGACGCCAGACTCCTTAGTAAGATCGTCACTCGCCACTAAATTGACTACTTCCCCATCTCCCTCTGCGCCCCTGCCCTTCGACCCTCCATCATCAACACTACCACCATGCTTCTCTTGACTACCCTCAAACGCCTCTCCCGTCCACTTCGGCACGTGGAACTCCTCCACATTATCGTCCAGCTCTATTTCCATCGGCTTCGACCCTCGCCGGCCCGCATGCAAGGGGCTTTCAATGTCCTCTTGCAATGCTATCCTCCTCCGTTTAACACTACCCCTATTCCTGCTCCCATCAACGTCTTTCCGATCGCTTCGCTCCGCCATTTTTCGCAACTTTCCACTTTTCCTATGTTCCCTCTTATCCGACCTATGTTTCTTCTTTTTCCTCTTCTTTTCCCTTTCAGTACTACTACCAACAAGTAGCCCCTCCCTAAAGAGGCCACTGCCACTCGGCCCGCTCGAGCTCGCTGCCACTATTTCCACGTCCCCACTTGGTGATCGATTCCGCCCCGACTCCTCCAGTGCTGAAGGGTCCGGAACAGCAGCTTCAGCGGCTGAAAACAGAAACTTGCTGAATGAACATTCACTACAATCCACAACGCGCCTGGCGCGACGTAAAACGCGGCACCAAAACCAACAGTAATACGGATGAGGAGTAGTCCCGAATAGTGGTTTTCATGAGCCCCCTAGGGCCAACTACGTCATAGTAGCGTGATCCTTCGAAATACGACGACGCTGGTGCACTAGACGATTTACGCCCACAACGACGAAGAAACGAGATCGACGGCCCCTATGGTACTACCGACAAATCCTTCACTAACCTATTGGTTCTACCCCCATAGCATGATGCTCTCATCTACTCACGAAGAGGCGGAGGAGTGGTACGAAGAACAGTCTGGTCAAGTCCCTATTACCGTAAACTCCAGGTGGTAAATCCAAACGTTGGATATTCCGTTCCACTAGGCGCTCCAAGAGGTCTCTATCGACAGCAGCTGGTACCGTCCAAGGGGACTCCCAGCCGCACTGCAGTAGATGTGCCAAGAGGGCATCAAGATCGTCCATCTTCTCATCGGGGCACGAAGGTGCGTCCTTCACTACCGGCTCCTCTTTAGACTCTAAATAGCAACAGATTGATATATATGCAGCTCTAGCATGAACGATGATTTCGAAAAGGAGTGGTAGTGTGGGGGAAACTGCACATGGTCAACGACACATGTTGGTGACAATATGAAAATTTCGGAAATTTCTAGTTCATACTTATACATCTCTTCTCGTATTCGTATATGAACTTCTATAATTAGTTCGGAAACTCCCGAGCTCAGCTGAGGAGAGAGAGCATTAATATTTCAACACCGAGGAGTGGTATGAGAATCAAAACTAATTCTCCGACATACGCAAGGCTATGTATTACCTGCAGGCATCGAGACGTCCTCCGCCTCCCCTCCAACACCCACTAAAGGGCTCGATATAACCGATGCCTCGGCAATTGGAGAGCTGCCGCCCATGGACCCGTCCTCTATGGCATCTATGAACTCCACGTCCGCCCAGTCGTAGCAAGGAGGTGGTGACTCTTGTTCGGCCTTGGGGGGACTGCTGACGTCTTCACTCATGATCAGCGAAAAGAAGACATTAGAAGCACTACTACCGGCACTAGAACCGGGGACCTTTCGGATGCCAACCACGCCACCTACGCCTTGAACAGAACTCATCTCATTCGAAAAGGAAACATGACTAGCCTCATGCCAGAAAAACCATCACAAATGGACAGCTCTCCTTTATAATAATGTTACACACAGCCCCAAAGGATGAATGCATCAGGCTGGGGTCCATTATGATCCGTCACTGCGCCACAAAATTAATGCCGTCACGCGGCAGTCGACTCCTCCACGCCACCTCTCGAGCTCAGGCCAGCCGCCTCCGCCTCTCTTCCCATACCTAGACACAGTAGGTCCGTCTGTCAACGAGAATAAATTTCGGTAAGAGGACATAACTACCACGATGCCAAAGATCTACTGAGCATACTTACGTTGGTTAGAATCGGAGGAGTGCGCGTCCTTACCGCCCTTCTTTGCCACACGTTTCAACGCCACTTTCTTACCACCAAACTTCTGCCGAGCCTCCCTGTAGAAGAAGATTCATAGGAACCCTCATAGGAAGCACCCAGGTTCGATCCCCACACCCTACTCTATCTCCTCAGCACTTATACCCGTAAGATTCTTCAGCGGCTCCCAGGTGTTCTCCGCGGAACTGTACCCTCGCCACTTGACATAGAACTGTTCCTCTGAGAAATGTCATCACCAGGATTCGAACCGGGGACCTCTCCCTTACTCTTCCTCGACTTCTTGTACCCCTCTATACACTCTAGCTCGTACATAGATTCTGAGTCACTACTCTCGTCGGCGCCCTGACGCTTATCTCGAAACGCCCTATACAGAACCTCCACCATCACGAGATGACCCCTAGGTTCTATTCAGACTACTGAAAGCAGACCCATACTTTCAAGGTAGTGAACTCCTGCATATGATAATTACACACTCTACCAGATATACCCGAATATCGAGTCCTCTACAGCTATAACGACTAACTTCCATCGTTCCTTCAAGTATTCCCTCAAAGACACCACCGAGTGACCTCAGAATGTCCTCATCCTTCTTCGCCAAGCATTGTGATATCCTAATCCACACCTTCCGGTGGAGGTGCCCTCCACTCTTCCCCGTCACCAAATACTCCTCATCATCGTCACTACCACGATAATCATGTACGTCAATGATGGCATCCAACACCAGTGTGCCCTAAACTACCCATGCATCGACGGACCCATCTACCATCACTACTCCTCCGGCCCTGGCTGTACCTCGGCAGACTTCTTCGTATGACTTTCCGCCGCCGCGACACTACCGGGGATCCTATCAGCTTGCGTCAATGTGCCTACCCCTGCACCAGTCCTCTCTCAAAAAGCTCAACAGCCGGTCCAAGTAGGTCGCCGTCCTTCCCTATAGAGTACCTCTAGCCACCTCTCGATTCAACACCGACGCCCGACTCCTGTGCATCTCACATTGCTTATCAAACCACTGAGTAGCCAGCCTGAACGCCTGAGCAGACTGGCTGCAACTGAAGGCAGCAACCGGCGCACACTATCACAATTCTGCGTCACTGCGCCACGAAATTGCCAAGGCCCGGAATGCTACTACCGCTTCGAACCTGGGCTCCTTGGTGGGCGGTTCCTTATTGAGAGGGAAGGTCTCGATTGTGACACCATACCGCGCCACCCATTGGTTTCGGGTGAAGTCATAGCATATACCCACACGGGACTAAAGCAAGACACGCATCGACTCATTTATAAATAGAGAATATTCATTTGATCATTTTATTTATTCAATTTTAATATTCATTTTCCCCCCTAGAATTTCGAGGGCGATTCTGAGATTAAAATTACCCGATTAAAGACGACCCTGCAACTCAACAAATGTCTATCGGATACCCAGGCCGCCCTTCTCAAGGAAGAAGATCTACGATAGATTTGGAGTCTGGTACTTCGCGGTCGGTATATGATGTTTTTCTGACCATGCGTATGAGCATGAGGAGGATTCTATAGTAGAGACCTCTATCAAGAATACTATCGAGACTCTGTAGAATTAACACTAGCAACTATCATGTTATTCGCTGACAGACCACGAGTTGCCATACCACACCATGGTGTTCACTCCAAATCATCCGATCCTGCTACTCGGATGAGACCAGCATCCTCCCCATCACCTCCCCGACATCCCCGAGGCCCTCCGGGGTCATCGTGAGGTCTGTATCCGCTCTCAGGCTGTCGAGTCGTCTATCAACTTCCATGGTGAACAAGGGAGGGAGCACCAAGACAAAACAGACTTCTCACAAGAAACCTCATACCACTCCTTTCTCACTTCACCATTTCACCCCTCCTAACCCCACCACATTAGTCGTTACTCAGTGCCACTGTAGAGAGAACAGTCATACCAAGCAATCGAATCTCACCACATGCCTATTCTTGCTTTCTTGCCTTCCATCACAATTTCTCAACATGCACTACTTTGCTAAAAGAATTGCTTCTGGATAGAGTCCACCCGATGAAGTTCAGTTGCCACTGACAACTGCAGTGAAGTTGACTGGATAGAGTTGATAAACGTTTCACCTATGGCTCGTACAATCTACCATGTCAAACGTGTATAATTTAGTTTCCACTCAAAAAAAAACTGCAGTGAAGTTATGTACATCGTACACGCTGACAACGTGTATAATTCTGATGTGTGTATTTCTGTTTCCACAGAAAAAAACTGCAGTTGTCGGCTTGAACGTCTCGGACACAGAGGTTCATTGACGTGTCCAAAGAAGCACTCACGCTCTTCAGGAACTCCAAGTCGCTTATGGGAACCCGAGGGAGTACTTCGGCCATCTTCTCGCTCCTAATTCCAACACATCTGTTATTCCTCGTTCTCAATGATATCCACTGAGCCAAACTCCAACAATACCCTCACGGCCGGAATAACATGGACGATGGTCGTCATCTGAGGCCCCACCGAATCATGCCAGTGCTATGACGACACTACACTATAGTAGGACCAGGAGGTGGTGTTGATCCGCCAGTTGTCGCTAGCAGTCATTCGAGGGAAGAAGTGGAGAAAGTGGTCTCTTTGCTCGAGGAGCTCTAGGATGATAACATGGCTCGAATGAACTCAGTGATTGAACGCTTTTTCAAAGCTGGTCTTGATGTTGGCCTACCGCCGCTCAAGTGGCTTTGTAGTGGCGAGAATGACTTGGTGGTGAGTGATGGAGGAAGTATGGATGTAGAACTGTTCCACATCTACTATGTCGACTGCTGTTGCTCCTGCTACTGGGGACACCGATGTGACCATGGACGATCAGCTCCGCATTAACAAGTTTAGTAGACTCAAACCCATGAGGAGAGGGAGGAGGACATCCTCCACATGAAAGTACTCCTCGATGGACTTAGGCACCTTGGACCGTATCAGCAGGAGAAAATACAGCTTTGTGAAAGTGCGGTTGAGGTGTTAGGGTTATGCATGGACTGCGATGGCCTCATGTGGGGATGGGAGGGTTCTTCGTCCCTGTCGATTAGGACTAGGCTTCGGAGAACAAGAAGGTAGGCTATGAGGAGAGGAAGGGTGCTTCGATGGTTGTATGAGGAAGAACTTACAACGGAAATGGATCGGCTCACACATAGGAGTGATGCCATACAGTAGTACAGTACATAGGGGTTGGCTTGTATTGTCGTAGAGGAGATGTGCGAGTTGAAGAGAGTACTTTATGCTAGGTTTGGAGATACCACCAATTCGGATGATCGTCAATGATATCTACACCAAGTGTCTTGCGTTACGGTCCTGTTAAGGTTGACATCGATCATCAGTGCTATCGCTAGAGTAACAGTACATACTCTACAGTTAATTTTGTGATGGGTTGTTCTCAATCGGCTCCTGTGGAGGACAATGCAGATTTGTCAGTCGGCGGGCGGAGCGATGCGGATGTTCAGTGTTGTCTTATTGGAGGGGACGAGGATGACCTCATTAGGGAGTGGATGGGGATGGCCATGGAGGAGTGGCGGGGTCTACGGACACTATATATGGTACTGGTTCAGGAAGGAGTGGGGTAGTGCTTGGGATCAGGCCTCGTCAGCTTGTATTGCACTGGAGGAGATCGAGGCTGTGAGGACCGCTAGGCTGGCGGCTATCGACAGCGAAGTCCAACGACGGCATGCGGAGCTAGATGATAATATTGCAATTATGAAGGAGTAAGTTCAGAGAGTAGGAGGGGGACGTTCAGCGTCGTTACTCAGGGCTAGAGTGGTAGCACTAGAGAAGGAGATGAAGACTGAGAAGGAACGTGTGGTGGACGAGCTCAATGAGTGGTGTGTGGAGGAGAGGACGGCTCGTATGAGGAGCATGCTGGCGGATGTAGTATAGTTGGCTCGATGGCCGACCATTCCTCGGGTGGTAGTTCTCAAGACGAGAGGCTGAGTTGGATGGACGAGTGAGAGATCATGAGAGGGCTCTGAAGGAGAGAATAGCGGACTTGGACGAGAGCCAAAGGAGAGCCATTCAGTTGCTTGTTCAGGTTAGCGTGGTTGTTGTTGTGGTAGAGTTGAGCTCATTTGTTAGGCCACGCCTTGAAGCTCTTTGCCGCCTGGGACTCGAGCTATAGTCTTGGACAACATAGTGGATGATGTCATGACCAGCCATGATTGGATAGGGATAGCCCTGCTGGGTGCGGAATGTCGTCACTCTATGGAATGTTTGGTTGTTAATGTTGTTCGGAGGAAGGGTAGGGTTGCCGCAGTCAGAACTATAATGGACCCTCCAGAGGCTCTCTACAAGCAGCCTCATTGTATTGGGGTCTCGAGTTACTTGTCGGGTAATGCTTGATAAGCATATGATCTTGGGGGTAGTTTTCAAGAGGCAAGCAGCCTATGAGGGTGAGAATGCTCCACCGCAAACAGAAGTCTCTAAATGTCCATTTGAAAACTGTTTTTAGTCGGTGGCTTCAGCAGACGGCATCTGTCTCCCCTCAGCCTTCACCCTTAGCGAGGATACAAACTTGAACTTGTTCGCAAGGCCGAACTTTTCCTCAACTCCCAATTTCCCAGGCTTGACAATCAACATCACAAGTGTGAAAATACAGACACTGACTGATAGTCTGAAGAATGGGTGTATGATGTTGCACAATGAATTACCCGCCAACTCAGAATGACCACGTCTTCACTAGCACAATAAATAGTTATCTATTGGTCTTACGGTGTCGAGTTTTCCCTAGTGGAGTGCATGAATAACAACGCAACAGTCAATATCGAAGGATGAGATGAACGCAGTTATGCGAATGCCTCGATGTCTCGAGGCACCAGAGGAAGAGGAGATACTCCAAAAGTGTATAACTTAGTTGGTATGCTTAAGAAGATAATCAGCGACACCCTCAGTGGTGGGGATCATAGTGTCCAAACCCTTCCTCCAGTTCATAGGGCAGACGACACCGTGCTCATCAGTCTCAATGACGGTATCCAAAATACGAAGGACCTCATCAACATTACGACCGAGAGGAAGATCATTCCTCATCTCAGAGCGAACAATACCGTCCTTACCGATGATGAAAACACCGCGGAGGGCAACACCATCGTTCTCGAGGAGGACATCATATTCACGAGACATCTTCTGGGTGTGATCGGAGAGCATGGGGTAACAGAGTTGAGTTCCGATACCACCATTCTTCTTCTCGGTGTGCTTCCAGGCCTTGTGGACATCGGCTGAATCCGTGGAACACGCGAGGACGACGGCACCGCGCTTTTCGAACTCGGCCATCTTCTCGTGGAAACCAATGACTTCAGAGGCGCAGACAAAAGTGAAATCGCCGGGGTAGAAGAAAAGGACAACATACTTGCCCTTGTAATCGGAAAGCTTCACATGCTTAAAGGAATCATCGGGCATGCAGGCTACCAAGTCGAAGTCGGGAGCGCTTTGTTGGACAAACATTGGATGATAATGAGAGAATCGAAACAACTGAAAAAACGACTCAGGTCGAATCTATGCAAGTCACAGACGTTGTTGATTGTCCTATGAAGCATGGCACGCCCATGACATGGTATTTTAGCTAAGCAAGCTCCTCGAGGACAATTGCACAAACTGTCTCCCTGGGGAATTGTGGTTTCTGTGTGCGTGTCCTTCGATACCATTCAGGCCATAGTGTGATAGATGAATCATGATTACTGAGAACTCACCACCTGATCCCTCTCAGCACAATATACACCATTGCTCGTTTGTACAAAGACAAGCAACCTTCGAGCTCAATGACCTGCAGCCCGGCCAATTATGAGCTAGGAGGAAGCTCTACGGAATATCAATGACAGGTTTTTCCTGGGAGTCTCTCCTTATATATTCGGCACATTCAGCCAGCATACAGGCGGGTAATGATTCACTCATTATGATTGCTCCTGCCTGGGTTTCAACCTTCCCTCTTGTATTCTTGGTAAACCTCACGACTTGCGTTAATCTTTTCGCTTCTCGATACGTTTAGTCGCCCTTCTTCCTCTCTAGTGAAGCGTTTCTGTGTTTGGGGGCGTATTCCGAAGGATCCCGAAGATTGAGCATGATGTCTCTCAAGAATCAAGTCACTGCCGCGAATACTCAACATTAGGAAACATGAAACCGGCGAACACTTTCAAGAGTTTCTCAATATCTTCAGTAGCTTGTCTACGCAGCAGCTTCCGCTGCGCCACTGCCGAGACCTCGGACAGGCTCAATCAAAGTCGGAGGGCTAGCCCAAACGTACGAGGTCTAAACACTTCGAAGTCACCGCGGTGAGTGCGCTCGTAGTCACTTTGTTGTTGTGGTTGAACAAACCATTCGTATCTTCGAGTTATCATGGTAACTCTCGGCCTCACCTAGCGTGCCGGTCTGAGAGTTTGCTGGTCTAGACGGGCTAAGTGATCAATCTGAGGTACGAAGGTTGAGCTGGGAAAGAGGTAACTTGTCAAGAGCCAAAGCCCGAGCTGAATACGACCACAGCCCGCATTTCAAACCACCCTGTAGGCTTAAGCGCGACTACAAGCCCGCTCTGGACTCATTAAGAGTTTACCCATGTTACCCGAGAGGTGTAGTTCAACCTGACCCACTACAGCTGCTAAGCTCTCGCGTGCTTTGTCAACGACTGCACGGCTGCCTCCGACCGATTGTGACGATGTGCACTGTACAATCATGCCCCCTTTGACCCTCGAACTTCCGTGGAGAAGATCAACTGAGTGTTGTCCCCATCAGGCTATATAACTTCACACACGCAACATCATCCACACAAACATTAAAATCATCCCCCAAGCCGTCATTTGAATAAACAATGACGAGAGTTCGACATCACGTGTGCTTCATGAGATAATCGGCGACGCCCTCAGTGCTCGGCACCATCGTGTCTTTGCCTTTCTTCCAATTAGCAGGACAGACAACGCCATGCTCATCGGTCTCAATGACACTATCAAGCACACGAATTACTTCCTCCACATTGCGACCAAGAGGGAGATCGTTCTTCATCTCAGAGCGAACCACACCGTCCTTACCAATGATGAATACACCACGGACAGCTACGCCGTCATCCTCGAGAAGGACGTCATAAGCACGAGCAAGTTCCTAACATTCAAGACCATATCGTCGACCGTACTATGTCAGTCACCCACTTTACTGTTGTCGGCGATGATCGGGTGGTTGATCTTAGTGCCCAATCCACCAAGCTTCTTCTCCGTGTTCTTCCACGCCTTGTGCACGTGCGCAGTATCGCATGAAGCGCCCACAACCTATAGAGAGTGACGCTACGGTAGAAGCATAATCTTTACTACAATGCAGTTGCGGTTCGAGAACTCCGACATAGCGTTGTGGAAACCTATGGTCTCGGAAGCACAGACAAACGTAAAGTCTGCCGGATAGAAGTACAAGACTACATATTTTCCCTGAAAGAAAACAGGCTTGGACCTCACCACTGTCAGGATCAACTCCACCTTATAGTCCGATAGCTTGACATTCTTGAAGGAGTCATCCGGCATGCAGGCCAGCATGTCGAAGCTTGGAGCTTGCTTTTGAATAAGCATAGTAATTAAATTTATCCCGAAGAAGCTTCCGAGTGAAATGGCTCACATCAACAATCGACCAATTGAACAGACACGAAACGTAACGGAAGAGGGGAAACGCACGATATGCGAATGTCTCGATGTGTCGAACCATTAGAAGAGGAGATACTCCAAAGTGTATAACTTAGTTGGTATGCTTAAGAAGATAATCAGCGACACCCTCAGTGGTGGGTATCATAGTGTCCAACCCCTTCCTCCAGTTCATAGGGCAGACGACACCGTGCTCATCAGTCTCAATGACGGTATCCAAAATACGAAGGACCTCATCAACATTACGACCGAGAGGGAGATCATTCCTCATCTCAGAGCGAACAATACCGTCCTTACCGATGATGAAAACACCGCGGAGGGCGACACCATCAGTCTCGAGGAGGACATCATATTCACGAGACATCTTCTGGGTGTGATCAGAGAGCATGGGGTAGCAGAGTTGAGTTCCGATACCGCCATTCTTCTTCTCGGTGTGCTTCCAGGCCTTGTGGACATCGGCTGAATCCGTGGAACACGCGAGGACGACGGCACCGCGCTTTTCGAACTCGGCCATCTTCTCGTGGAAACCAATGACTTCAGAGGCGCAGACAAAAGTGAAATCGCCGGGGTAGAAGAAAAGGACAACATACTTGCCCTTGTAATCGGAAAGCTTCACATGCTTAAAGGAATCATCGGGCATGCAGGCTACCAAGTCGAAGTCGGGAGCGCTTTGTTGGACAAACATTGGATGATAATGAGAGAATCGAAATAACTGAAACAACGACTCACATCTACCGGGTTCACTCGGATCTCAAAGTGTTTATGAACCGGACCGAAGTCGCACGATACGCAACCGAAAGCGTTACGAGCAATTTGGACTACCACCTCAGCTGTTTAGCTTTGGCTCCCACTCCAGCTTATTAAATATCTCAGACACTCCACGAGATTTTCTTATACAGTCGGCACACTGCATAATTCAGTTTCGAGAAAACGCGCACGCCATTATAATCGATATCTTTTCAATAAAACATGAGTATCTTCAGCGGTGTGTGTCGCTGGGAAAGAGTTGAAATTTCCAGTCCACCATACGAAACATATCACAGTTGGCTACTGGTTGAATAGTTAATGTCGAGGAAGTACTACGAACGTCTTGTCACTTCGAGTGGAGTCACTTCGAAGAAATTCGAGTCGAACCTCGGTGCCAAGATCCTAGGCAAATTCGGGTGGAAGACCGGCGACGGCCTCGGCGCGGAAGGTCAGGGCATGACCGACTGCCTCCAGGTCAAACGCCGGGAGGAAAACGAAGGGGTAGTGGGGGGAAATACGAAGCTATGATTTTTTCAAAGCGATGATGTCTCAGTTGGGACGCGAGCTCGAGAAGAAAGAGTCATCAGAATGGGAGAACTGGTGGGCAGACAGCTACAACGCGATCGCTAAGAAACTCGCCGTAGTACGCCGTTACGGTCATCCGGCTTGACGTTGTACTTTTTCAGTCAGTAGCAACGACGAGCAGTGGAAGTGAGGACTCTTCTGACGACTCTTCTGAAGATGAAGGAGAGGCACGGACGACGGCAATAAAACGTGCCGACATGCAAAAGGGAAAACTCCGGTGAGTTGATGTGTATCGTATAATGGGAAATGGCATGTTCAGACGCATCATGCGGCAAGAACGAGCTGCGGCTAAGGAGGAGGAAGAGGCCGACAAGAAGAAGGATAAGCATAAGTCTAAGTAGTACGGGTAGTAGCATAGGGTCTCTCACTGTGGTCCGCAGGAAGCATCATCGGGAGGAAACCAAAATCCGTAAGAGTAAGAGAGCCGCGGTTGAGGAGGAGGAGGTTCCTAAGAAGAAGCATAAGAAGAGCAAAAAGTCGAAGCGGTCTGCTGAGGAGTGATCGAACACGATTCTTCAGTGTAAACAATACCCTTGTCGTCGTTCATGACGACTTACGATTCCGCGAAGGAGCGGTATGATGGTATTCCTTCATCTCTGGGGCATCGCTCCCGACTCCATTTATTGCCTGCTACTGTACGTATCAACTCGACAAACGCCATATCAACTCGAGATCATTTTTGGAGTGTTGCGCGTTGGAGTGTTAAATGGTGAATTTTGGAGTACATGAGATGCCTGTACATGGACGCTTGAGAGGTCGTCACACCCTTTATGAACTCGAGGAGCTCACTGTCACCATAGGAAGGGATCCCGATAACGACATAGTACTAGATTCGAAAGGCATTTCTAGATACCAAGCAGTAAGGGAGGTATGATAGCGATAGGGAGATGTGACTTCCAGGTCTTGGAGTTTCACAGCTGTACATCCTCGTCAACTAGGAAGTTCGCTACCATAACAGATCAAAATAGCGTCAACGGTGCGTTCATGAGGAGAAGGGGGTAGGAGGGCCGAGTTCACTAGGCACTAGGTACATTCGTAAACGGCATTCGGGTCCATCCTCGACAGCCCCACAGGCTCATCAATGGCGATATAATAGTGTTCTCAGCATTCGAGAAAGAGAGCTATCGATACGAGGCTACGGGCCTTATACCAGCCACTCTGCCTCCTATGGTATGTCATTCTACAATGTTCTATCCAAATTGTGCGTCACGCGCCACGAAATTAATAGATATCCTCTGAGGCAAATTTGCAAGGATGTTGGTCATAATCGTTCGAGATCTCATCACCGAGTTTTACGTGTGAAAAGAGCTATGAGGTTTCAAACAGTGTTGGAATATATGTAGTTCTCACTCGCGCCCACCCATCAGCTGCGGCGGCGCCAATGTCGGCCTAAACTACTCGTGCCTTCCTCACACGTTATGCTGATCGGTCCCCGACTCTAGCTTCTCTTCTCCCAACGTAGCCAAGACGATACAGATTGGAGACCGATCAACATAGCGTGTATGGAAAGCACGACTAGTTAGGGGTTCTCTCAGCTGAGCTCGTAAGTTTCCTCGCTAAAACCAACAATAATTTACCAAAATTTCCCTAGAATTTTCATATTGTCACCAACGCACGTAGTTGACCATGGGTATATTTTCCTACTCTGTTTCCGAATCACGCTGCAGTTCACTGTAATGATAATTGATTCGAATCATTACTAGTAGTAGTTGTAAACACAATAGACGATCCCAGTACTGCCCAACGATGGGTCGATCACTGATACTGTAATGAGAAGGATCAACGGAACGCTTCTCGTCTCAGTCTTCGAGGCAAACAGTCAATGCCCAAGACGTTGCAGAGGGTAATACTACTGTCAACAATCATCTAAGAGGTCAACGCCTGTTAGTCTCGGGCCTCAACATAGCTGCTGGTAAGCCCAGCGAAGTGGATGCCAGAGGATCGAACCTCGTCGAACAGCTTGACGTCAATGATGCTCGAAAGAGGCCCCAACCACAACAGGTGGAGGCGGAGGTGTCTCACGAGGGGGTCGACCCTTCCCTAGGTATCTTCTAGTGACCTGGACAGCCCTCATCCAGCCGCAATCATTGTCCATTCCCCTCCTCGCTCCGCTCACAGACGTACCTCTCATTACTCAGTATTGACTGTTGAAACGATCTTACAGTGGCGCCGGCATCGTCGAGAAAAGCGACAGATGAAACGCCACGCACTCTGCAGGAAGCTGCACGGAATAGACCGACACCTCCACGAAGGAGACGAGCAGTAGGTTCAAATGCGACTCTGTGGAATCCTCATACCGTGGTGAACAGCTCAGCGCATCCCCCACCACGATGGGGCCTCGTCGTCGGAGGCGGCCATCCTCGCCCGAGCGGTCGCTGTCGCCACGGCGATCGAGAAGCGTCGAACCCGCCTATCGTCCCCGATGGCGACGGTCTGCACACAAGCTAGAGAAAGCTGATGAGGTCCTCCCTCGACTCGGTCATGGACAGAAGAACCCACAACGGATGGGGACATCTGAGTCTGCTAGCCCTGGAGGTTCCGGATCGATGCCAGATGAACAGG